TTAATGCTACCAGTTATAACTTCAATATATTCACGATTTGCCCAATCTTGCTGAATTTGTTTTTGGATAGCTTCTCTATGTACAGCGGCCATTTTTTGACAATACGTTTGTACCACAGAATACACAATACATACCAGAAACTTAAGTCTGTCGTTCTTCGATGTTTAACCAATTCCTCATGCGCATGCGTCCGCAAATCGGACCAATATGATTATAAGCAGTCCGTTGTCATTTGGGATTTGTGCAGTTTGCGGAAAAGACTGGGGCATCCTGTATATATTAAATTATACTTGTACAACAACGTGTTCTTGTTAACAGTAATTTTATTAATAAAATGTGTTGTTAGGGCTGCTAGAAGTAGGCGAAACATGGCTGCGTAGAAATGACGTGACGTATGTACAAAGTAGCAATAGAAAAAAAGCGCATGGTCATGGCCAGTTATATTTATGACGTCATTGAATTAACCAAAATATGCATACGTAATGTACATAAAATAATACCTCAAATTTTGCACGATTTTTCTACCTCCATTAGCTATTGCAAACATCCCCACCATTTTACTGCGCATTCAATCTGCAGTGATGCCTGCCTTAGCGTTGAATTGTCTGTTAATCAGAGTAAAGCAATTTCTACGCCTATTCTTGATAACGGAGCGCACTGCGGCCTGGGAGTCTAACAAAATTTGAGGTATTATTGTACTTATGCCATCTTGTCCCTAGGATAGGAATTTATCCAGAAATACTGCATGCGCCTCTTGCAGCAAAAAGATGCAATTAAAAATTTGCTCGTAAGTGAATGTTCGTAATCAGAACTCTGTTCTTTTTGTGGATAGTGTGTTTGAAATAAAGTAAATTGTCATACAAACTGTGGTACCGTTCATACCTATCATGCTGTTTACCATGTTTTTTATTTTACATTTCATCCACATTTAAGGCTGAAAAGGTCAAAGTGTATTGTATCTTGCATGCACCTTAGTCCGAAGAGGGATCCGCCATTTTTATTTTAATTTGCATACAGTGCAGTACGCAAATAGGAACACGAACATGCGTAAATAAATGCTTTTGAGATCTGACTAAATAGCGTGTATACCTTTTTCTATTTACGTATTGTCGAACACATTGATCGTTAACATCGCCAAGTATATCAAATGTTTCAAAATTTGTAAAATTTGCTAGTGTAATATCTAACATTTCTTAGTTTGTATTTTTCTACAGCTATCAACGCAATGACGAATATATTTAGATTAATTGATTTTTATTCTTCTTTGTACATAAATACAAATAAATTCTTCGAGTATTTAAAATAAAATATTTATGTGCAATTTTGTTTTAGAAACATAATGTTTTAGTTTAGTTCGTATTCCGAAGGTTTGTTGTTTCATTTAAATCAAATGATGACCATCCAAATTATGTTTACAGCAAAGCTATCGGAATTTTCACTTTCGACAAATATATTTCCATGCCAAGCTTGTTATGACTCTGGGAAGATGTTGTATTTCGTCAATAATTCGATATACATGCGAATTATCTAAACAGCTGTGCACTTACAATCGTGGCGCGAAATACTATATCTTTCAAGGTGCTTCCTTATCAATTGGTGCCCATCGACTGATCAGGTAGCACACAAATATAAATTTAAATGATCTTGTTTTCGAAATATAGGAACTAGTAAAATAGTATACATTACTATTTTATAAACAGATAATTGAATAGATAGATGATTGATTGCTTTGAATGAAAATGTTTATAAGGACACATGAAATATATTGTATTACATAATATTATGCTCTTTTCTTGTTTAATACTTGTTGTGTGAGATTGTTACAAATTTATACAATATTAATGTAAAAATAAATGAATAAAATAAATCATTTCATAGGGCAGATGAAATACCATTGACTTGTCTACCATTTTCAACAAATATGGCTTCATCGAGCAAGTCGACAGACAAGCTAGAGTCAACTAAGAATCGACTTGCTTTAGAAAAGTCTCCATACCTATTACAACATGCGACCAATCCTGTTGATTGGTATCCATGGTGTGACGAAGCCTTGAAGAAAGCAAAGGAGGAGGATAAATTAATTTTCTTGTCCGTTGGTTATTCTACATGTCATTGGTGTCATGTTATGGAGAAAGAATCATTTGTAAATAAGGAAACTGCTGAAATTATGAATAAAAATTTTGTTAATATCAAAGTAGACAGGGAAGAAAGGCCAGATATTGATAGGATATACATGACTTTTATCCAGGTAACTACACAGGAATTTCAGAAAAAGGTAGAATCTACATGAAAATTCTTGGGTGCTGCTACTAATTTGGAACTACTCTTTAACATAGGCTGTGACTGGTCACGGTGGTTGGCCGATGAGTGTCTTCCTTACTCCTGATTTAAAGCCCATAATAGGAGGAACATATTTTCCTCCAGAGGACCGATACGGACTAACTGGATTTAAGACCATTTTATTGAATATTGCCTGGAAAGTATGAAAATGCCTCTTTACTTTAGTAAATTAGATATATAAAATGTCTATTTTTATAATTTTTATATTCTGTAGTGGCAGCAGGATAGGACTAAAATGATCGAGTCCAGTTCTGTTAATCTTCAAACTTTACAAAATATTTCTGAGATCGCACAAACGTCAATGGTAAGATAATGAGGCACATACTTCTGCATGAATACAAATCATTTAATTGCTGATATATTTGAATTTATCATTGCTTATTGATTTTATAATACAGATATTAAGCCCACCACCTATGGAGTGCAGCATGATCTGTGTCCAGCAACTCATTAGCGAATTTGAACCTGAATTTGGTGGATTTAGTTTAAAACCTAAATTTCCACAGCCAGTGAATTTTAATTTTTTGTTCAGCATGTACATGCGTCAACCTACCGATGAACTCGCTCAGAAATGTCTAAATATGTGTGTATACAGTTTAACAAAAATGTCGTACGGCGGTATTCATGATCATGTAGGTCAGGTAAGAATTTCAAATTCAAATGTATGATGGAATATAGAAGTTGTATGTTTGTAAATTATAATTCTATGTTAATTTGTAATTAGGGTTTCTCGAGGTATTCTGTAGATGGAGAATGGCATGTTCCACATTTTGAAAAGATGTTATATGATCAAGGTCAATTAATGCAGTCTTATGCAGACGCATACCTGGCAACAAAGAATGTACTTTTCGCTGAAGTTATCGATGATATTGCTACCTACGTGTTACGGGACCTCCGGCACAAGGTATGTACTTCATATCTGTGTGCATGGGCAGTTTCTTTTATTTAATATATTTTGTCACACATATTAGGAAGGAGGCTTTTACAGTGCTGAAGATGCAGATTCGTATCCTACGCATGATGCGTCCGCCAAAAAGGAGGGTGCATTTTATGTGTGGACTGCTGAAGAAATTAGGTCGGCTTTGAATAAAGAGACTTCTAATGAGAAAAACAGTTTGTATGATATTTTTTGTCATCATTTCAATGTAGAAGAATCCGGAAATGTAAAGAAATATCAAGTACGTTTTATAATACATATATACGCTTATACATGTATATATTTGCAGTATATTTGTATATTATTCTAAAATTTATTGACTTAGGATCCCCATGGAGAATTGAAAGGGAAAAATGTACTGATAGCATACAACGATATAGAAGAAACGGCTAAACACTTTAATCTCACGGTTGGAGAGGTGAAGAAGTACTTAAAAAAAGCATGCTTTATTTTGTATGAAGTTAGGTCTGCAAGACCACGGCCTCACTTAGATGATAAAATAATTACAGCATGGAATGGTAAAATAATTATTGTATATTCTATAAGATGAACCATATTAGACAACTTATAAAATATTGTTGTACCCGTAATGAATTTCTTCAGGTCTCATGATAAGTGGTCTAGCCCGCGGAGGAACTGCAGTGGGCAATAAACAGTATATTGAATGTGCAGTAGAAGCTGCTAAATTTGTTGAGCGTTATCTCTTTGACAAGTCTAAAGATGTCTTGCTCCGCAGTTGTTATCATGGCGACAGCGATGCAATTGTACAAACGTGAGTATTTCATCGGTATAGTACTAGTTGACGAACTATGCACGCTTCATAAAATGTAGACCCTTTACAATGGAATTACATAGGGTAACGGTAATAGGTTGTCCTACCTTCACGTTTCTAGGAGTGAACCGATAGCAGGTTTCCTAGACGACTATGCGTTCACCGTGAAAGGATTGATAGACCTGTATGAAGCCAGCCTGGACGAGAAATGGCTAGAGTTTGCCGAGAGGCTGCAAGACATTCAAGATGAACTCTTCTGGGATGAAACGAACGGCGGATATTTTTCAACAACATCGTCGGATCCTGCTGTAATTCTACGGCTGAAGGAGGGTACGCTTAAGTACTTTCGTGGTAATTTTAGCCCGACGATTAAAATTCTGTGCCGCTAGTGTGCGTTAGTTGTGGTCACGTTGAGCTATGAGATCAAGGAAACCCACATTCTGTAGTAAAGCCGAGCATGTCCAAATATTTATAGCACGGTCTGCTTAGTGTTTCATTACGTCCGACCATTAAGTCTATCAACCCGCGGTAATTTCGCTTGGCTGCTACGTTATTAGATCAAAACTTGAATGGAGGAAAAGGAGATACGCGATATGTGTTTCAACGAGATTTATCATCTTACAGATCATGACGGAGCAGAGCCATCCGGTAACTCGATTGCCGCCGGGAATTTACTGAGACTAGCCAACTATTTGGATCGCAGAGAGCTCAAGTATAAAGCTGTACGTTTGTTCGGAGCGCTTAGGCGCATACTGATGCAGAGACCTATCGCTGTTCCTCAGTTAGTATCGGCGCTTGTTCGGTATCACGATGATGCAACACAGGTGCGTGGAAACCACAGAAATATTTGGGTCTATCACGTGAGAACCGGTGTGGATCTAAGCTATCTGGATCTAACCAGCAACGAACAAAGTTAAAAGTTGTGAAAGACCTTGAAGTAAAGTCTTACTATCCCTAGCAAGACTGTTTTAATCCGATAACCATTGTTATCCATCCAGTTTTAGCTTTTGAGGAATTCAATATTGAAAATGTGTTAAGTCTTTCTATTGACCTTCATGTAGCCTCGAGTACCAAAAATACAATTGCCTGGTCTTCTTCAGAATTTTCTATCTAATTTTTGCTATTATCAACATCAAACCAGATATTTGAGGTGCTCGCCCTAGTTAGCGCAAGTTTAGATTCTGGAAACTATTTAAAGTAAATTGATGAATTGTAAGTAGATGTCTCGCACTTTTCAGATCTTCATAGCTGGAAAACGGGGCGCAAAGGACACTGAGGATTTGTTGCGAGTGGTCTACGACCGTTTGATACCGGGAAGAGTCCTCATCTTGGCCGACCCAGATAAAACCGATGGTTTATTGTCCCGTAAAAACGAGCACATGAGCAAAATGAAAACTTCGAACGACCAAGCCACGGCTTACGTTTGTCGGCGTCGGGCTTGCACCCTACCCGTAACCAGACCCGATCAGTTAGCAGCCTTGTTAGATGAGCAACGATAAGGGGATATTTACCAAATAGTACTTTAAGTTCGCGAAACTGTTCGATAGTTGCTGTGATGATAGCAGATACCTTCTGCTGGCGCGTATAAAAACAACATTATCTACCGTTTTGTAGTGGTAGTGCCAAAATGTTACCACAAAGTAATAAGTTACCTTGAACGTTGTATAAATTGTATTGTTATCAGGGAATCGGTGGAAATAATGTTGCATACAATTGTATATATAGTATTACCAATAAAGCAGAAATGTGAAACTATCGAATAATCATTTTATATCAGGAGAGACTCGGATATACACAAGCATCGATTGATTTATCATGTCCTTGGAGCTTGGTCAAACTTTCCTCAGACTTTTGTTCTAGATGTTCTCCGGACTAGCTTGTCGAAACAAAAATGAAAAAAGACAATAATCTCATTCGGAAGTTACAATATTTTCTCAGATGTCTTTTCTGCACAATAATTCGGACTTACACTCTTTCGGTGAGTATTTACTACTGTTTCGGAGAGAAACCAGTTGGTTATTGTTCTACTGAAATAAAATGGGAGCACAAAGGTATCGCGTTGGTAACGCGGTTCCATTTAGGTCGATGACAGAATGCACTTATAATTTCCAATAAAACCGGTAATTCCCCGGCCACGCCAGCGTATTGGTTCTTGATCATCGACAGACTTTTGTCGGGAACGATGTAGCGGCTACAGCAAAATCTCGTGTCGAATTCCAACCGAAAATAGCCGCAGTATATAAACCGCCAGAAGCGAAGAGAAGAGAAGAGAAGAGAAGAGAAGAGAAGAGAAGAGAAGAGAAGCTGTCTCTTATACACATCAGATGTGTATAAGAGACAGGAGCTTGGTCAAACTTTCCTCAGACTTTTGTCTGTCTCTTATACACATCTAGATGTGTATAAGAGACAGGAGCTTGGTCAAACTTTCCTCAGACTTTTGTCTGTCTCTTATACACATCTAGATGTGTATAAGAGACAGGAGCTTGGTCAAACTTTCCTCAGACTTTTGTCTGTCTCTTATACACATCTAGATGTGTATAAGAGACAGGAGCTTGGTCAAACTTTCCTCAGACTTTTGTCTGTCTCTTATACACATCTAGATGTGTATAAGAGACAGGAGCTTGGTCAAACTTTCCTCAGACTTTTGTCTGTCTCTTATACACATCTAGATGTGTATAAGAGACAGGAGCTTGGTCAAACTTTCCTCAGACTTTTGTCTGTCTCTTATACACATCTAGATGTGTATAAGAGACAGGAGCTTGGTCAAACTTTCCTCAGACTTTTGTCTGTCTCTTATACACATCTAGATGTGTATAAGAGACAGGAGCTTGGTCAAACTTTCCTCAGACTTTTGTCTGTCTCTTATACACATCTAGATGTGTATAAGAGACAGGAGCTTGGTCAAACTTTCCTCAGACTTTTGTCTGTCTCTTATACACATCTAGATGTGTATAAGAGACAGGAGCTTGGTCAAACTTTCCTCAGACTTTTGTCTGTCTCTTATACACATCTAGATGTGTATAAGAGACAGGAGCTTGGTCAAACTTTCCTCAGACTTTTGTCTGTCTCTTATACACATCTAGATGTGTATAAGAGACAGGAGCTTGGTCAAACTTTCCTCAGACTTTTGTCTGTCTCTTATACACATCTAGATGTGTATAAGAGACAGGAGCTTGGTCAAACTTTCCTCAGACTTTTGTCTGTCTCTTATACACATCTAGATGTGTATAAGAGACAGGAGCTTGGTCAAACTTTCCTCAGACTTTTGTCTGTCTCTTATACACATCTAGATGTGTATAAGAGACAGGAGCTTGGTCAAACTTTCCTCAGACTTTTGTCTGTCTCTTATACACATCTAGATGTGTATAAGAGACAGGAGCTTGGTCAAACTTTCCTCAGACTTTTGTCTGTCTCTTATACACATCTAGATGTGTATAAGAGACAGGAGCTTGGTCAAACTTTCCTCAGACTTTTGTCTGTCTCTTATACACATCTAGATGTGTATAAGAGACAGGAGCTTGGTCAAACTTTCCTCAGACTTTTGTCTGTCTCTTATACACATCTAGATGTGTATAAGAGACAGGAGCTTGGTCAAACTTTCCTCAGACTTTTGTCTGTCTCTTATACACATCTAGATGTGTATAAGAGACAGGAGCTTGGTCAAACTTTCCTCAGACTTTTGTCTGTCTCTTATACACATCTAGATGTGTATAAGAGACAGGAGAAGAGAAGAGAAGAGAAGAGAAGAGAAGAGAAGAGAAGAGAACACGTCCGAAAGGGAAAAGGTGAGAGGAAAAAGTGGGTAGGAAGCCGGAACGACGATCTCTCGATCCGTAGCTTTAGGAAATCGGAACGGAACACGTGCGTACAATGTTTAGACAATCTTCTTTGAAGCTAGAGCTTAGGGACCGGCAATGTCTCGTCAGAGAACATACGCACCTCAGAAGCAAGAATACAGTGCGATACGACTAAGGGAAGGTACCTTGAGAATTATTGGGATACAGATTTCTCTCTCATGCGGTATTTATGTCGATCACCCTCCTCAGAGGGTTGCATTTCTATTGAAAATCAAATTAGAACAATGATCGAAGGCATTGACAGTTTAAACAAAAAGTCTATTCTGTACTAAGTCCATCGATAGATCTAGAACCAGCCATCATAGGAAGCTCATCGGTTTCAGAAGAAATCGTTACGAATTATACGAATTCAAATGATTTGATAAACAACGGGTCGCATCAGTCTCGCTGCTATCATCGAGAAATACAATTCAAATCGAAGCACCAGGAACCAGTCGTTCGACCATTCTGAACAGTTCTATCAGAGAACTGGCGCCTGGTCTAGGTGTTGAACGACACCAAAGTCGAAATCCCCGCGATGTCTGGACTGAGAGCCTGTATCAAGGCTCGGTAGCGATCAGGAGAGAAGGAGGGCAGGAGGAGCGTGTCTGCGTAGTAGGAGGATCTTCGGATCCCCTCTAGGAAGGACGCGGGAGGTCACGAAGCGTTCGCGCGAGGGAGGCGTAGACGGCGACGACGCTGCCGTCGACGACGACGCCGAGGAGCATCGCGACGGCGGAGGGGTCGCGCATGCGTTTCGTTTTCTCGGCGAGGATGTTCGACGTTTTTTTTTCAGTCACCGGTCGACGCTGCACCGGGCACCGTCGACGCGTCCGCTCTCGGCCCGAGCTGCTATGGGTTCTTAGAGCACAGGTCCTCCAGGTGGACTGATTCCGTCACCAGGCGTCGTAAGTTGCGCACGATCGGTCCAACGACGGAAGGGGGATAGCTTGGTCTCCCGATCGGACCAGTTCCCGAACCGAGCCCGAGCCTGGGAGCCACGCGACTCGCCACGCGCCGCTCACGCGCTCCCTAATCGGCCAGTTCGCGCTTAACCGTGAGCCCGAGAGCCCGAGAGACCGAGACCGGCCCGATGATCCAACAGGGCACGCCGTGCTCCGACCCGTTCCGCCGCGAGTGCTCCTGGTAGCAGGTGAGACGCCCGAGCCGGCCCGGCCCGAGCGCGGCCCGACCGCGGGTGGCCCGAGCTGCGTGCCACCTTCGCAAGGTGAGAACTGCAGGTGAGAGGGACTGGGCAGGCGCATATCGCTAGACAGCACGCACCTGGATACTCGTCGGCCCTCGTAGAATGCGGCCAGTGGACTGGCGGCCACTGTTTCGATCCCGGGGCTGCTCCGGGCAGGATAGGCCGCAGGATAGATGTTCTTCCCGCCGGTAGAACCAGCCAGAGAGACCGTGCAGTGCTCCTGTGTCGCTGGAGGAGTCCGCGCGCCAGGCAGAAGGCCGAACAGGCTTGTCAACAACGCCGAAGCTCGCCCTCGATGTCGTTCGTAGCCTCGCGCCGCCTGGTCTCGTCTTGGCTCGTTGCCGCGAGGACATCGCTCGGGACGACCCTTCACGCCGAGATATCTTCCAGCGAGCCGCTACCGTCCCCCACCTTGGCGCGGACCGAGACCCGCCAGGCCCCTCGTTGTTGAAGCGGACCCCCTCTGAGAAACCCCCCCAGCGGAACCAGCCTTGACAATGTCGCTGCATTATCCCCAAGGGTATCGGTACCGCTCGGCCAGCAAGCCTGCAGGGCTAGGGAACGGCGAGCAGGGATCGGACAGCGACGTCGCCGAGCTCAGCGACCTCGAGGACGACGAGGACGAAGACGGGGGCGGTCAATCGACCGACAGTCGCATCCTGCCGCCTGATCCCGAGGACGACGACGACGACGATGACGACGACGACGACGACGAGGACCCCGAGGACGACGAGGACGACGACGACGACGACGACGACGACGACGACGACGAGGACGAGGAGGATGGAGAGGAGCTACCCTACCCTGGTTTCATGCCGGTCGTGCTGAGGTACCTCGACCAGAGCACACGACCGCGCAACTGGTGTCTGGCGCTCATCACTAATCCATATCCTTTTGGAACGTTACCACTGCTGAACGCCGTTCGCGAACGGTGATGTTGTTGTCGTTATTGTTGTTCTTGATGTTGTTAATATCGTTAATGTTGTTAATGTTGCCGGAGCTGGGGAGTTACTATGTCGTGGGGGCTGGGTGTTTGGACGATCTCGGGGATCTTTTGTTCTTGACCCGTTTATTTAGGGTAATATACGGGGGACTAGGACGTTGGGTAAAGAGATTTGAATTGTGCTGGTTTGCCTGTTGCTGTGGCCGGAGTACCATTTTGGATCCGGTTGCTAGGGGAACGTAGTTCTTACCAAGTTCGAGGTGGTTCGATCGTTGGGTACCATCTTGTACCCAAGCTGTTGAGGAAGATTAATTTTTTAACTACTTTGTTCGGAATAATACTTTCGATTAGCCTATTAGGGAGAACACGTGGTTGTCTTTCTTTTTTCTTTTTAAATCGTTCGTCTCGATTATCCTGTTTTGGTTTGGATGGATTGGTTGGGCTACCGTTTTGGATTAGTCCGTTGAGGGGGAAAAAGCAAGTAGTTTGTCTCAATTATGATGCTTTCGTTGCTCGATTAGTCGAGGTAGCATCGTTTTTTCTATGCCATTAGTCTCGGCTGTGTCCTAATCATTTTTTCTTCACCAAATTGTGATGAATCCATTTTTCTGTTCAAGGGTTCCAATATTTGAAACACCCTGTTGCGTACTATGTTCTATTATACAGTGGCAGACAAGATTCTCAAAGTTGAAAATCTTATCTCCGACTTTAAGTAACACCCACTACCTACGAGCGATCACTGTTATTTATCGAAGCACGAAATTAACGTTGCATAGTATTATCAAAGAATGGTGTTCGAGTAGATCAGAGTTTGGAATTCCGACGGAGGAAGAATGTTTCTCTTCTACAAATACGCCATTTTATGACAGAAGCATAAAACGAACAATGTTCGGAATTCTTGCATTTACTAGCGGCTACTAATGATATTTTTATTCCCGAGAGCCACGGTGTAGCTAATAAATTTTTTCATAGCTTTCTGGGTCGAAGACTTTTTTTTCATACATTTTTAATTCTTTAATGGCAGTAAACTGCTAACCATAAAACTCGCTCGCCAACAGTCCTTAAGAGTTTTCCGCGGTATTAACATCGAGAAGCTTTCTTCTGCCTCGAAGTTCTTAACGTGATTCATCGCTCTTCCCTTGACAACTCCGGCTGATACTTTCTTCGATTCCATCGGAAACTACCGGTTCGTTGCCATACAGTTGTTGTAACACGTGAGACAACAATTTTATACATTCTCTCTTCCAACGGTTTCGCGAAGATCGTTTTCCTAAAAGTGTCAAGATTAAATTGTAAGGTGAAATTTTATAATAATTACAGAGCCGAACGAATTTTTCCATTTCCGACAGTGCCTCGCTATGCTTTTGTTTCCACAACTGTCCCAATTTACGAAAGTATTAAGAAATATTAAAAATCATGTTTCCTAACGTTTGCCGATTTCAATGCTCGAATCGTTGTCGATCAGAAAAAGATAAATCCGCATTAAAATTATTCCACCTTGATATGGACAAGTTTCTTGTTCGCTTTACCAGCCGTAAGGTTCTCTCACATTTATCTCTATTTGAAATTTACTCTCTCACGGCGTGAATATGAAATGTATACATATATATGCGTGTATACATATGTATATAGCCTATAATATACATACATATATGCCCTATAATATCGAGTGAATTCTTCCGGATCCAATTCAGATTCTCCTTTTCCATGGCTCGTAAAGTATTTTTATTGCTTCGGGGATTTTTAATAATCCCTTGCTGGTCGATTCTCCGGAGAACTTACTCGCCGAAAAATATTTATTGCTCCGCCACATACATTCGGCCGGTCAATTTAATTAGTCCAACTTAATTGTCTCTGCAGATCCGCCACGCGAATCGATAATCTCTTGCCAGACGATTTTCCGGGGGCATTTGTTTTCCGAGAAATATTTACTGCTTATTTCGAACTAATTGGTCTAGCCCAACGAACAATCGAATCTTAATGGAAATTCGGAAAAGTCGATCGATGCTGCGCTATAGCACGATCCACGAGCATAGGGGATGCTTCGAAATAATTATTCGACGCGTTCCCGCGAAGACTTCTAGACATTCGATATCGCGAACGAAAGCCAGAAGATCGCGCTTCAATGATAAACGATTGAAGTTTCGTAAAAGATTTCGCCGTCGCGTGGAGAATTATCAAAATCCCGTCCGAAGAATCCGCAAAACATAATTTTACGATACGGACAAGATTCGAACGAATTTTCCACCGCTTTCCCGTGGGAATTTTCCAACTTCCGAGGTCTCGAATTAAAGCTGAAAGATCGCACTTTATGCTGGACTGGTTAAGGTTTCTAGAAAAATTGTTCCTTCCACGAAGGATTCCGAAGAACGACTCGTTAGCGCCAGTCGACCGAATAAACGAGTGAAACGCAGTCGCGAAACATGCGCGAAACCGAAATGAAAAATTCACCGTCTCGAATGAAGGATCGCCGACCGTATTTCGACGCGAAACACGGGCTGTTATGGTCGTAAGGTGGTGCACGGGATCGGATCGGTGGCAGCCAGGCGCGCGCTCGCTCTGCTGTTCCGCTCGGCGCAGGGTTGGCCCGAAGGCGGTTTAAATAGGTCATTGATTGACCTATCCCCGAGACAAATCCCAATGTGCTTGTACGGACACTGGCTGACACGTCTGTCTACGTATTTTCTGTCCCCCTTTAAACGTCCCTCCGCATCGCATCGCATCGCATCGCATCCCATCGCATCGCATCACAGCGGCGCGGCCGCGGCCGCGGCCGTGTTCTCAGGCCTGTGTGTGCGTGCGTGGCCGTTTGTGCGCGAAATTGCGGGGTGTGCAGGACGCACGTGGTCGCCGGGCAAAGTTTAGTCAGCGGTAGCTAGCATCGGAGCAACAAGCGCCGGCAGAAAGATTCCCCATTGTGCGGGCGGACAATGGACGGCTGGAACTACCGCGAATGCGGGCCAAGCATTTCGCAATTCTCCGCCGCTTTTATCCCCCGTCTCGTTCCCGGGGCTAGGAACTGAACAAACGTCCTCTTCTTCCTCTCTTCCAGCCTCCCTTCGACGCGCTCCTGCCGCGGCTACCTTCGGCGAACACTTATCCGGGAACCTCTCCGCGGAATTCTTCGCCCTATCTGTCCTTCGAAAGGCGAAAATCTCCTCCCGCCTTTTACTCCCGCCGGCCTTCGACGGATCTTCCAATATTGTTTAACACCCTCGCTAACGGCGGCGCAGTCTTTGCAACGCTAGCACTTCCACTCCCGTGGTAAGTCGCAAAATAAGCTTCGGAATTTAAGAATGGTCGTGCAACAATCGTACGAAAATGTCGCTTTGGTTTGTCTCCGGACCTGATTAATTTTCAACTTACCGAATAAGATGCGTCGATAGATAAAGGAATGAAAAGATGTGATATTCGATAATTATGAAGTTAAGTATGCACGAAAACAAATCAAATTGTAGTTTGCTAACCCATGGTAACCGGCTATCTCATACATTATACAGAAATTGCACACAGAATCGTTGGATCGTAATAGTTGCAAAGCGTTATTTAAATTATATAAATTATTTAAATTCTGTGCAGTACGAGAAGTTGTTCAGCGATCCGCATATTGTAATCGCATTGGCCATAATTCACGGGGAACTGTTCGTCTCAGCAACGAATAATAATATCAATTTGAAATTATTTGATAAACCAAAAATTCTCAGGACAACGGTCAATTCTTGGTACGTGCGAAAAAAATAGAATTGGCCGCGTACATATTGCATAATCTCGATTCCTGGTGTCCCATAGGCACGCGCGAAATAATTTCGAGGACTCGAGTCCGACGAGTGCAGAGAAACGCCGAACGAAATCAATTTTCTCCCCGCGCTTTCGTTTCCGTAGAATTAGGTATGAAAATTGAAGCCCGCCGAGAACCCCGGCGTCTACTTACTATTAATGACCCGTAAGGGCGCGATTCCGTTACAACGATAGTTCTCCCCGGTGTTCTTTTTTTCTTTCTTTTTTGGCTCGCAGCCCACTTCCGCAAGTTCCTTTTTTCGTCCCGGCAAAACTAACTACACTCCATTAACGGAATTTCCAAGCGCAGTCGCGCGGATAATTTTTGACCGTTTCGAAAGTTTGATCGAAGATGAGCGAGCAGCAGCTGACGCATTCTTGGCGCTCCGCGCACTTTAACCATTGTTTAAACATGCTTTCGAAACTATATCATCTTACGCGGGGAAGTTCACGGGAATGCTATTATGTAAATGAAAACTGTAGGAACTATCGGGGCTCGGGCACGAAACGTTTGCGAACTTGATAATTTGTGGTTACTCCGAAATTGTACTTTCTCTAGGATGCTGCACGGAAAAAGAGCGCCGTATAGGAAATTACAGGATTTGTTTAAACAACGGTCTACGGACGTTTATCGGGAGGGTCTGTTTTTTAAGCTGGCAATTCGGAGAAGCGTTAGCGTTCGTTGTGGATAATTAGACGAAGATAAGAAACCGTAAGAGTCGTGTTCGTTAAAAAATTCTCCCTTCGACCAGAATGCATTTGTAACCGCAACAATCAGTTTTAAACTGCAGCTGCGATTGCAATTTGTATTTCAAGCTGCATTTGCAAACTGTTGCAGCAGCAACTGAACTGCAACTTCAACTGTATGTTGTAACTGCGACTCTAATGAAACCGTTAAGTAGCCAATTTGATTTCGTGACGGCTGATAAACATTGTAAATCGAATATTGGCGCGTCCGCGTGTCCGCGGAAATAGCGTCGAATATTTTTGTCGAGCGGTGACGAACGCGTTCAGTGTCCGCAAAAAAGGTGTGGCCGAAACGATAAAAATTTCGAACGATGTACTCCGTTGCACGCGAACGATCGCACTAAAACCAAAAATAAAATTCGGTTGCCGAATATTACAGTTCGCCGCGTTACGGATACCGTTTTCTTTCCCGAATCTAT